GGTGTAGGGCTTGAACCCCCAGCTCTGATTTACTGCCTAGGCTGCTCACCTGCTCGCTGCGCTCCTGTTTCCCTCTGCTAAAGCCTGAGCGTGTTGGGAGCCACCCTTAGCGAGTGCTTGGAGCTAGTCACACAGGGCTTAATAGCCAGGTACACAGAACAGAGGGGCAGAGGCAGCTTGAATGTCCCATCAGGCTGGGGAAGCTAAGCTGGGCCTGGCTCTGCAGTCATCACTCACCTAGGCCATGGCACCTTTGATCTTGGGTCACACAGGGCTGCCCAAGGGAAAGGGATTGTCTCCAGCATGCACCGCATTGCCCCCTGCTGGCTGTGGGCAGGAGGGCTCCAGGCAGGGCGAGCTGTTTCCCCCTCCCTTTAATAGGTCCCTGTGATGCTTAGGGTTGTGGAGGGCTTGGCTCTGCTTCCTGGCAGCAAGGGATGCCTGGCATTTGCAGCTCCTGCAGTAGGGCCTCGGGGTCCCATTGCACCGGGCGCTGTGCAGACACATGGGGAGAGACAGCCCCGGGCCCTACAGAGCTCCACAGACAGCCCAGATGCAGGCTGGGTGAATGATCCCCCTGAAGAGAAAGGGGGGAACCGAGGCACAAAGCAATCAAGGGCCAGGTTTCCAGGGGCAGTCAGCTGTCAGGTGGGAACACAGCCCGTCAGTGGGCTGTCTGTGCAGGGATTGCAGTGAGTGTGGGTGCTGCGCTCGTCTTCTCTCAGGGAGGATGCGGGAGGCTGCCCCCTCTCTCAGCTCCATCCTGGCCCAGTCCCGGTGCCTCTAGAACGTGGCCGAGTGTCAGTGCTTCCTGTTAACTTCTCTTGCCTTCCCCTGCTCGCCTGTACTCACACATAATGGCAGGCAGGAGCCTGCAGCCCACACCTGGCCACACCCCACACAGCCATCTACCCCTCGCTACATGCCAAGTCACTGACCAACTACTGCTGCCCTGCCCTGCCATACAGCACCCGCCACAGCCCCCGGCCACCCTCTCGCCTGGCTCCGGTGCCCTGCCCACAGGAGCCGGGTCGCAGCCCATACACACTGCCCTGTGCCTGTTGGACATGGCCCCATGCACAGCGTCCTCTGCTCAGCCCCACCAACGTGCGCGATGGCGTTTGGGGCTGCAGTTCCATGGGTCCTTCTTGCCACAGTGGCCAGCTCCCATTGGCCTGGAACAGCGAATTGCGGCCAATGGGAGCTGCGAGCGGCTGCATCTGCCGACGGGGGCCGCTTAGTGCTCACCCCTGGCCTGGTCCGTCGCCCTAGGATTTACAGCAGCACAATGGGCAGCGTCTCCGCTCAGCCTCTCTCGATGCTGTCACATCACGGCCACAGCCCCCCCGCAGGCTGGGTGGGAGGAGGGTGCCAGCATCCCCACAACCCTCCCAGCTGCGCTGGCCCCTGAGGCACAGGGTGGCGGCTGCAGTAACTGCCTGTGCTGGTTTCCTCAGCGGGCCAGGCGTGGCCAGGCAGGTTGTGCATCCCAGGAATACCACCTTAAAAGCCCAGGAAGCCCAGCCCCTGCCAGAGGCCTCACCTGCTTAAGGTGGAACTGGCTGACCTGCTGTGTGGGAAGCCGGCCTCCTTGCTGATGTCAGTGGCTAGGCAGAGGGGTGTAACCCTGTCTGGTGGAGTCCCATCCCAGGAAGCCAGCACTTGGGCCAGGACAGGGCTGGCGTGGGCTGGGGGTGCCTGCTGCTGTCTCCCCAGAGCAGCTCTGACGGACTCCCCAGGCGGGATCTGGCAGCCGGCCTCGCCCGCTCTCCTGCTGCAGCCCCCAGCTCCCCGGGGACTCGGCAAGACGGAAGCGGAGCTGGTGTTAGGAATAGTGGGACCTTTCCCTGGCAGGGGCCGGGTCCCGGGGCAGACCGAGCCAGGCGCCCCACCCAGCCGGGACAGGAGCCATGCAGGAGAATAACTTCCTCCTGTCGGCTTTGCAGCCGGAGGCCGGCGTGTGCTCCCTGGCACTGCCCTCGGACCAGCAGCTGGGCAGGAAGAGCAAAGAGACCCCCGATGCCGAGCTGCTGAAGAGCGCCCGGGTGCAGGAGCAGGTGCGCATGAGGATGCTGCAGAAGAGCGGGTCTGCCCCCAGGACCAACGGATCTGGGCTTGACTGCCTCGAGGTCAAAGGTAAGGGCAGGGCACAGGCCGGGCCGGGCTCCAAGCCCTCTCATCTGTCAGCTCTGCCGGGGATGGGATTAAATAGGGGGTGGGGACTGGGAGTTGGGCCTGGCTTCGCTCGGTGACAGCACTTTGCTGTTCCGTGCCTCAGTGTCCCCATCTGTACAATAGGGCTGATTCTTGTTACCTGTCTGCAGGGGAGAGCGTGGGGGGCAGGGAGGCGGAGCTGCAGGAGGAGCAACTGGCCAACGTCTGTGACTGGTGTGGTGCTCAGCCCCCGAGTGCGTAGTGCTGCGGAGCTCTGCCTCTCCCAGAGGTGACTGGCCTTCCTGCACTGGCCGCTGCTGCCTGCCCTCTCTGGGGAGCGCTGTACAGACAGGGGGGAGCTCGAACTAGGGGGTGGGGGAAATCTCCCCGGAAAATGGGGGGGACTGATCAGGGCTCCAGCCAGGTCCCAGCGGCTAAGGAATGGGGCCGTGTGGAGCAGGCTGGGTGGAAAGGGGGGTGAACTGTGCCCCACTGTCCGCTCCCCTGGAGAGTCTCGCCAGCAACGAGACAGTAACAAAGCGAGAAGCTCCCAGCTGCTGCTGGCTCCCTCCCTGCGGGATCCAGCCCGGGCTTTGCAGCGCTCTTTGTTGTTGTGCAACAGCCCTGCATGGTTGCACACTAGGGCGGCCTTCCCCGCCTGCCCAGTTCTGAGCCCCTGCCCCCGCCCCCACCCCCTCCTTGATCCTGGGGCGGGCGGGGGGCATGACTCTTTGCTTTGCTGCCCCCCAGTCTGGGCTGCAAGGGGCTGCAGGTGTGTTTATCTGTCCCCTGCTCTGCCAAGGAGCCAGGGCCGCAGCTCTGGGAAGGTGCCAGGATTCGTTTCCTAGGGTTATTTTTGGCAAAGGGTTACAGTGTCTCCCCCCCCCCCCCGGGGGAAAGGGCTGCCCCATGCCAGTTGGTACACGGGCAGTGGGTTTCCACTCCAGCCCTCCCACCCCTTGCTTTCTAGGCACCTCACAAGGCCTCAAGGAGCCACAATCCAGCAACTGGAGCAGCTTGCCTGCCATGGGGATTAGGCCTGGCAGGTTTCCAGTACTGGCTGGGGGGGCTGTTTGTTTGTGTGCGCTGGCATGGCTGGCTCTGAGCCCTTGTGCAATCCGGGGTTTGGGTTTTGCCCAGGGTGCTGTCTGCTCCCATACCCCCAGGGAAAGGTCTGCCCTACTAGCTGACCTCTGGACTTGGGGCATGATCTCTAACTCCCCCACGTCAGGGACCATACAGCACCTGGCAGACCTGATGTGGGATGGCGGATCCAAGTGTTTTCTGTCTCTCGTTGATGTGTGGCAGTGGAGTGTTCGTCGCTATTTCATGTTTCACTTAGTAGCACTGTGTTTAGAGTGTATCTTTGAGGGTCTGAAGGAAACTAAGCTCCCACACCCCCATCCCCTCCAGCCCCTTGTGTCTTTATCCTTTGGGGAGGATGGTTTGTTACAACCCAGGACTGTAAATTTGGAGATTTGGGACGGGAGCCCCCTCACTGCTCTGCACTCCAGCAGTCATTCGCACTAGTGCAAGGCGAATGTAAAAAGCTCCCCCCCTCAGAATGAGTGAGTGACACACTCACTGCCTGCTGGTGCAGGGTCAGGTCCATCCATGCTAATCTGGACTCTGCCACCGATTTCCTGTATGACCTCGGGTAAGTTCCTTAGCTTCCCTGTGCATCAGTTCCCCACCTGTCCAATGAGAATCATCTCCCAAGGGGGATGCTGTTTATTATTTGTGTTCTGGTAGCCCCAAGGAGCCCATGTCATGGACAAAGGGCCCATTCTAGGTGTTGCACAAACAATCTCTGAGGGCTGACTTGATTAATTCCTGCCAAGTTTGAGATTGCTGGCTGGAAGGCAGTGGAGAAAGCCAAAGGGTGTCTCCTTCCCCCCTCCATTCTCATTTCTCTCCCCCGTCCTAACTGCCAGGACCTGAGCCTCTTCCTAGCAGCCCAGCTGTTCCCACGCACACCTGGAGCTGCCTTTATGGCTTCTCCTCCCTTTGCTCTCTCCCCATCCCATTGTAATTATGAGTGCTGCACCCACACCCTGTCCTGGAATTTTGGCCTAGCTGCTTCCCTGCAACCTGACAGGCCTTCTCTGCAGCTGCCTGTCTCTGTTCACTAAAAGAGACTGGCGCCCCTAAGCGTGCACCTGGGAAGGGCCGGACATAGGGAAAATGGTACCCTGGACACACTTGTATTTTGGCATCCTGGTACCTGCCCCTCCCCATCAGGCTAGCAACTCCAGGTGGTATCACCCACCCTCTACCTGGCTGGCAGGTGCTCCAGCCCTGGGCTTGCCTGAACTCAGCCTTGCTCTGGAAGTTCAGGGCCACAGTCTCATAGCACTTGGATAGCAGCCCCCTGCCCGATGTGCCCAAGGTCCTAACCCCTCAGCTCCCTGGCACCTGGCTGAGACACAGAGGCCTAGTTCTTAAAGTCTCCCCTCTTCTCTCTCCCAAGGAGACGGCACCATGCCAGGGGTGGCAGGGGAAGGCAGGGCCTTCCCAAAGTACTTGGCTCACCCTGCCCATGCTCTGCCCCCCAGGCCTGCCCCATTCAGCGCCTGTGCTTCAGCCCTGTGCTGCCAGCACCTCCCACCCCACACTGAGGCTGAGGATGCTGGAGCTGCAGGGCCAATAGTGCCTGGAGGGGTGGGCTGCAGACTGCAAGTGTACTGGGTGGGTGGGCCACCCATGCTGGGGGAGGACAGGCTGTGGGCCGCAAGCGCTCCAAGGGTGGGGGGCACCTATAGGAGCCATGGATGGCAGGGGCGGGTTCTCAGGCAGAAGGGGCGGGCTAAGGGCTTGCCTCCCCAGCTCTGTATTCACCCACCGCCTAACCCCGGGCCTTTGTCTACAGTAAGGCAAGCGCCTGAGGCTAAATCAAGTGCAAGTAACACACGTGAGCTCAATCCAGCGTCACCCCTCCCTGTGCAGCACAACTTTTCCCTGGGTTTATGCTTCTGCTGTAGCCGGAGGCATCCGCACTCACGGCAAAGTCAGCTTACAACCCTACGTCCCCTCACCGCATTCCCTAACCTCTAGCCAACCCCGCTCTGTGCAGGCCTGGGGCTGCCAAAGCCCTTAAAGTAACAGTGAGGAGGGATCAGCCCCTGCTGCTCCGCTCCCGCCTTCGTCTCCTTGTTTGCAGAACGGGTATGAGTCCTGCCCGCCAGTGATGAGCCGCAGTCGTAACTAGGGATGTTTTCAGTGCCACACCACTTCTTCCTCGTAGGCAGGGCTACAGCCAGACCTCGGGAGAGCTTTCGCCAGCTCCTTCTTGGCACTGGGAGCAGCACCACAGCCTGGCCCCACACCCCTCCAGGCTGCTGCCATTTGGCTTCTTCCACTTGCCCTTTGTTGAGATGGAGGCTGAAGCTGGGGGTGAAGCAGACCCCCCCA